GTAATTCTTTTTAAAGAGAACTCAATAATTTAAGGAAAAGTATTGTTGATTTGTTCATTTTTTTTAGCCCAAACTGTCTCAATAAAGGCATCTGTGTTTTTTATTTTATTTTTTTATTTTATGAATGATGAGTATAAAAGTAAGCTAGAATCATTTCAAAGCACATATAAGAAAATAAAAATAGAACTACAAACTTAGGAGGAGGATAATATCACTCACAAATTGAGAAAAAATTAATAGGATTTCCTATTGGAGCTGACTTAAAAGTAACTACAAATTAATTATAGTTTCTCTCTGCACGCATGAACATAGGGCAGACAGGAGGGAAGAAATTGACCTTAAATCTGATTTTTTTATCCATTTGAAAATAAAAAATAAAAATTTCGAGGCCCGCTTTTAAATTGGGCCTGAGGCACAAGCACAAAATCGGGCTTGCTTCTGGTTGCCTTCATTCCTCAATACTCAAATAAAATCATTATTTTTATTTTTATTTTTATTTTTGGACGATTGATTGCATTTCAAACTATTGCCATATATGAAATGATGGACGGTATAATTTTGCAACATTTTTTGCCACGAATCTGAAGCAACAAATGTGCCAGGCGCTAAATAGAAGGAATATTTAGTAGATTTTCTGAACTTAATTCGTAGCTCTTTCTTGATTCATGAACTTGCTCTTTCACATGAATTTAAATGTTTTCATCAAACGCACACTCAAAGCTCGAATAACATCTACTTATTTTTAAAGAGAATCGAAATTATGGCCGACGAGTAAGAAGATTTTAAATTACGGCCAACAAAAAAATATTTAAAGAAGAATACCGTGCCTAAATCATGAATAATAATAAACTACGAAATAATTCATGTAGCATCTTTGTGCAACTTAATGTAAAACTGGTAGGATGGAACTTGTTGATTCCAGAAGTTAAATTTTTTCTTTTATTTTAAATAGAGACTATTCCTACATTAATTTTTTTATAAACTTGTCTTACATATTCCCCAACTTTCTTGACAAATAAAGAATTGTACAACTTCTATAGCAGTTGATCTTGCTAACTTTGTATATATTGTTGTGCCGACGTATTTAATTTATTGATTCAAGTATTTTATGTACAAATTCAAATGTTTC